GAGTCCAGACACAGTTAGCCAGCGATTTGCCCCAGCCTCCCATGGAATCAGCGGTGGCCACTTGTTTCGAGAAGATGGAAAAATTTCCTCTCGCCCATCGCCTGCTAAGGTACACCCGTTTCGAGAGCCCCACTCAGACGGGAATAAGGAACTGGAGTGGCGTCGCGCTAAACTAGATTGGACTCGCCACTAGTGGCCTAACTGCTTTGGTCTTAGGCCCTTTCCACTGGAAAGCTCCAGCTGGGAGCTCTTGTGCTTGGGTTGCATGGAAGCTCAACCTAGAGCTGGGGAGAGCTGGTGGTTGTGGTGGTGGTGGAAAATGAGCCAGAACAATGAGGGGTAGGTCGCACATGGCCGGATGCCCAGCTTGTTCACTCACCACGTGATTCTACAATAACCCATTGGAATTGCCTAAACTGACTACCTGCGAGCAATGTGACCATTGTGTTGTATCGGTCATCATCCATCAAGGCCAACCCCCATTCATCCGTAGTCAATACTAATTATGCTGATGCTGCAGCTGTCGCAAACCCCCTCAAGAATGGAGGGGTTCCACCGGCATTCCCGAAGTGCTGGTCATCGTTACCATACCGTATGTATGCATGTATGGTATGGTATTTGACCAGCTTAGCTAGGTCAACCTGCATCTGTCTGAGGGACGGAAGTCTCGGTCGACCAAGACCCCGTCAAAGTTCAGCTGTTTGCCCTTTTCAAACGCGGACATGAATCGCACGGATCATATAGGATGACTGCTGCTGGAAGTCCTTGCCGAGTAGCCATGTCCTTAACTTATACCCTTGACTGAGCTACGGAGGTGTCCGCCATCCCAACTAGGAAGGCAGTGCCCCTTCCCCATGTCACCCCTCCTTTGGCTCCGGTAATGTAATGTAAGCTTGACCCGACTCTGAGCTCCAGTGGAGTGTAAGTGTCACAGACTTATCAGCAGAGTAGATCCGGATCCGAAGCCTTCTACGGCGCCTCACTGTACAAAATGGGACTGTCTAGTGATACTCCAATATACTGCTATAAAAGCAGTAAAGGATGAGATATTGATTAACATCTTTTTTAGCAAGAATACACTCTTCAAAAAGAGTAATGTTCGCGACGAAGCGAGGACCGAAATTTCATGTGTGCGGATATCGCGCTGTCCCACACTTTATCGATAGGCGCAACCGGCATCAGATACCGCCACGGTACGAAATCGTATTACCGAGAAAGAGCACATGCTGTATCACCACCAGGATGATAATGCCTCATAGGGATTGATCGGATGAGAATGGCTTGAAAGACTTTTTCTCCTGCTGCTTGGCTAACAAGCTATCGCCGTAGCTCCATGTAACAAGCAGTCTAGTAAAAACATCTGGATACCTGCGTAGCTAACAAGCCAACCAATATCTACAATCTCCCCCAAGAGCTTCCCATCGGATGTCCGTTATCTTGCCCGTGAGCTTCCCTCTTTTTTGCGCCCTCTCATCCGCGGTACGGGCTGTAGTAGTATGCTTATCGTGTCACCCGATCCAGTGCTCCGTGATACCTTATCCCAGCGCCTCGAGACCTACAAGTCCAGTTACTGATGCACGAGGACGTTTTCTGGATTGTTCACTAATCCTGGATCCTCCGATCATCCTAGCCAGTCCAAGCTACATGGGACAAGCCACGCGGTCGGAGTGCTTCGGACTAAATCTTCCCACTTTTTATTTTTTCTTTTCTTTTTTCTTTCTTTCAATCATTCTTTGACTTTTTGTTTTGTATTGTATGTAAAATCATGTAATTTGTAAGTGGATTACCTCCTTTTTTCGTTTTTCCCCTCCGGACAAGTCGCCTGCTGGTCGCCTTTTTTCACTTTTTCTCTCTTTTTTCCTTCCTCTTTTTATTTTTTAGGTCAGATTTCTGCTTTTTGCCTAGTGGGTCTTTTGCCATCCCCCAATCCTTTGGCTGTCAATTTTCTTTTTTTCGAGGTCACTAGCCTATTCGTAGACTAGCTTGGCTGGACAAGACCTGTAATCGGCCTAGCTCCTTGACCTTGACCTTCCCCCCTCCCCCTTCCTGGACCTGACCGATTCCTCGATTGTGATGCTTTAGTTTCCTGCCACTACGCCGGACGTGCTTTTGACTACTACTTACTACTAGTAGTACTGCTGCTGCTGCTGCTGCTTCGGAGTACATTTCAATCTTACTACATTGATAGTAACTACCGCAACTGGCTCCGAAAAAGAATAGCTCAGCCTGGACAGCAACAACTAGGGCGAATTTATCTCCATATTACTCATACACTTTATTACTTTGCCGTCTAGCTTTCTCGACCACGGATTCCACCTCTTCCCCGATCCTTTTTCTCCTTCATCTTTTCGCCTCTCCAAATTACTTGCTTGAACATACTCATCGATTCTTTACCTTCTCCTTCTTGCGCTGTACATTGGAGCATGCGTTGGGAGGGTTGACGGTGCCCTAACGAATTGATCTTGATCTATTGCTATCTAGTTCAGTGCTCCCATTCAAGCTTGCTTGTGTGCTTGTGCTGGCTCGCTGGCTTGACCCTCCAACCCACCCCGCCAGGACGGATCCATGCAGACCATGCCGCCGCGAGCATCGCTAACCAGCTCCTTCTCGGTCACCGACGTCAATAATGAAGTGGTGTGTCCGTTGAAGAATAACGATGGCTCCAATTGCCGGAAGAGATGTCTGGGTGTGAGTAGTACTCCTTCAGCTCGCTTTTCCCCCCCTCTCAGCTTTCCCTCCTGCTCCTTCTTCCCGCCCGCTATCGATCCGAGCCCCACTTTCATGCAATGGTCAGCAAGCAGCCTGCGCCTCTGTGCGAGGACCAGTGCGGGCGCAAGCTGGAGAGAAAAAAAATAAATAATAATATGATCTGTCGCATTACTATCCAAGCCTAATAATGCTTGTGGTTAACATGTTGTTCTGCCCTTCAGGAGAAGCGCTATCGCTCCATGCAGGAGCACATCCGGAGAGCCCACCCGAACCACTACATTCCGAAGCTCCCGGCAACCGAGGAGAGCTTCATCTTGATGGTGACCACCCCTCCAGACCAACGGACCCATCTATCTCCCTCGACTCAAGCTCCATCTCGGCGACGCAATGGTCGGTCATCATAGCTGGAATGTGTGGCTCTCAGAACGTCAACTGACTGGCTATAGAAATTGCTGATCGGGATATCTACGTTGCTGACGCTAGCTCTCCGGCAACCCCGCGGGGCATTGACGAGACTCACCCCGCGGCAGCGACCGCCGCCGTCGCATTGGCGCAATTGCACCACAACCGTCTAGCTTCCGACTGGGATACGGACATGGTATGCTAGACTACTTTGTGAGCAGTAGAAAAGCCAAGATTGCCTAACTGGTGCGCTAGGAGACTCACTCGGACAATGACCGAGACCGCCTGCGATCCGTTGAACTGCCTTCCCTGAGGGAGCACTTCAAGCAGGAGGCTTCGCTGCCTCCATTCTCATCCCCTCGTCCTCGCGAGCTTCTCCCGTCCATTCTGACGCACTCCCCGCCCGGTCGCTCTTCCACCCTGCCTCCCATCCAGCATAGAGACAAGCTTCCTCGTCCTCGCAAGTCGTCCATTTCTAGAGCTAGAAAACCGAAGCATGAGCGGACCAGATCCAAGGAATACGGCCGACGCCCTAGTCTGGGCGATCGCAAGGCGCTTTCTGCGGAACCACAGACTGCCGCATGGGCTCAAGGCAAGCGCTGGGAAGATCTGATTGAGGCAGCTACCTCGGCCACGGAAGCAGATGACGATCACAACTCGGATGTAGGTGCCTGCTTTTTCCGCAGAACAAGCTCAGACATGTGCTAATCTCAGCCACAGGTTGGTCGGTCGCCTACAATGCCCCCGTTGATTTCCAACATCACTTCGGCGCCTTCGGTCGGCAATCACCGGTCATCGCTACCACCGGCTTTTCAACCCTCACCTGGACTGCCGCCACCGACATCTCATCGGCCTTTCCCTCCTCCTTCCGCCTATGCGGCGTCACCGCTACACAAGTCTTTAACGCCGCCGCCATTTGACACCGCACGCAGTCGCGATAGTGATTTGGAACCATTTCCCTCCATTGAATCCTCGCTGGATTCGGCATCGACGGCGTCAGGGAAAACCTACGCGTTCTCGAGTCACATGAGCACCTCCAACAACGAGTCTAGCCCGGTATTGAACATGTATCCTTCTTCTGCATCTCAGCGCCAGCATCATCGCTTTTCCAACCCCACCCCGGCGTCATACCGCAACAGAGAGATCCAAATCTATTGTGCCAGTTGCAAACGCCCGTGGGCTCTGAATGAATGCTACGCATGTACGGAGTGCATCTGTGGCGTGTGTCGAGAGTGTGTTGGATTGTTCATCAGCAGCCCGCCCGCCTCTTTTAGGAATGTGACGTCGAGTCCGGGCAGTGCGATGTCCCACGGACCAACAAGCTATCCCAGTCCCCGAGGCTGCCCTCGCTGCCGCACTGTGGGTGGAAAATGGAAAGCTTTCCAGCTCGACTTCAGGTGAATCCACCCTTATTCTTGATGTCTCCAGAGTGAAGCGCACTCTGGTGAGCTTCTGATCGAATTTTATGTTTTACGGATGTTACGATTAATGGCTTTGAGGGTGCACGGTTACTCAAAATTATGGAGCAATGACATGAGCCAGGCACATGAATCACCCAGTGGTCGATGAGTATATGATGTCGCCCTTGACTGTTTATATCTCGGAACGAGTTATTGAAGGGCTGGCCCGACCATGATTCTCACATGCCATGATAAGGAAATCTTATGAAAATCCGGGATTTTGGGTGTTTGGTAGGTATACAACAACGCTGGGCGGGTATATATACTACATGGTGGCATTGGTGTTTTGATCATGACAAATTTGGTTTATGTTTTTGGATGATTTACGTGGGTCGCATTTACGAATATATTGAACATTGATGTAGTTTGATTTGAATAGATGGTGTCGTCATCTTTTTCCAATACTTCCAAGGCTTTTATGCTACTCTTTTATGCCTTGCTGGGCCACCAGCTCCCACCCATCAACTGGCCCACCAGACCACCAATTAATCTGGTTACCCCCATGCTCTTCTCATCCTGTGCCTTGATCATGCCTTGCTTGTCATGCGCGCCATCTTCACCCGCAAAGAATCTTACCAGCACCTCCGCGGCTAGTTTGGAGTCATCACCGCTTCCGTCCACGTCTCCAATTGCCGTCACATACTGCTCGACAAGCTCTTTCGCCCACCCCAATCTCCCTCCAAAGTCGACACATGTCTCACGGTTGACGAAGGAGTCGAATTCAAAATGACCTTGATAGGACAGAACACGTCCTGGACAATACAAGCCTTGAATAGGGCAAGGCTTTGATCCCCCAATGTTCATCCAAGGCGAGGGAAGCGCTTTCTCAGGTGAAGACTCAACCGTCACCCAATCCCCATGAATCATCTGCAGTCTCAACGCGCGCTTTCCCCTCAAGCAGGGAAATGCGTCCACAAATCCCTGTGTGAGTTCAACCTGCGCCAGTCCAGCTTCTTTTCCATCGGGACAACATCCCACCTTAACCTCATTGGCCGAAGCAGATCCCGCAAGCAAAGCCTCTGCAAGCGCCTGGTGGCCAAAACAACTTCCAAAGATCCGCACATGCGGATATTGCTCATACACCGTGGTAATGAACTCCAGCAACGGTGCAACCCATGACTGGTACTCAGCACCATACGTGGACGCCACTGACCCCGTAATCAAGATACCGGTGATAGGCAAAGCCAGCGGATTGATAACCTCCCCAGCCTTGGTCACTGTGGCAGTAGGCTGCGTGCTTAAACTAGCCAGCGACGGCAAATTGCCACCAAGAGTGTCGAACGCAGTGGTGTGGATCTCAATATCTTCATCTCTTCCTTCATCTTCTGCAATCCGCCCCGCAGCAGCCCGAAGCAGCTTGCGAAATTGGGTACTATAAAGACCGCGAGCGTAGTAGACGTTCGGAACCGGGACGTCGACGTCCAGGACGGCGATGTGGAGATGTTGCTGGGTTCTCATCGTGTTCTGCGTGCGTGCGTAATAGGTGTATTGAGGGGTTTCGGGGAGTGGTGAGGGGTAGATGCGTCTGATAGAAAACTATTATCTAAACAGATTTGGACGTTGATAAGGCGAGAAAGAAAGTGTGGAACCGCGGATCCTGGGGATCGAGTTGCCTCTTTCGGTAGGTGATCGAGATGCGGGCGCACCGCTTTAGGGTTGAATCTCGCTGGTTTGGGGAGGTTATTGCGATTTGGGTTGAGATGGTATTCAATTACTGCTTGTCATTCTATTAAGCCCATAGGATTTATTTCAGAGGGTCTATGGGTGAGATAATACGTTGGATGTACGCAAGTTGGGGGTGTTCGCTACAGTTACTCTTGTACTACTTCCAGCGGACTCTACTCGAACCATTGTAGAATAGGAAGTACTACAACTCTGAAACCAAATCAAATATCGATCTGGATAAAGAGGCAACACAAGTCATACTTCCATCAGTCTTAAGCGACAAACATGTCATATTCATCATCCTGATCAAAGTACCCACGCATCGACAACCTTAACGCCTCATCCAAGCCACCATCCACGATTAGAAAGTCAAAACTATAACCTTGACCAGGTTTTCAAACATGTTCCTAGTCGGATTATCTCCTGCTGCGGATATAGTACGCTACGCAACCAGTATTACAGGCGTATTCTCTGGTTCGGGGTTATAGCCCGGAACTTAGTGAGTGAGATCTCAAAGCCTACAATTATAGATCTTGTAGGTTTAGTTGCAATGGATGTTGCTTTGATCGGAGTAGGTTGGACAAGGGACGCGCTGCTGTGTAGTGGTTACTACTACTGCGGATGATGTCTATTGATGTGTGCTATGTTAGAATCATAGCGATTGACATGAATAGTATTCTCATGTGCCATTCACCTTCCTACACATAAAAGCAAGTCTAAATACCCACACAACATAAGCAGACGTGTGTCAAAAAGAAGACGAGTGAAACAAACAAGAAGCTATGCCAACGCCAAATACAACCGCTAAATCAATAACTCCACACAAACACAACCACTAGCAGGAAGATCTACTCAATCTCCCCTGCATCGCCCTCCTTTGAGATCCATCCCTCTCCTTACGCAAAACCGCCTTCCCCGCCCGCGAAAGAAACTCTTTCCAAGTACCGTCGCCGTGAGCATGAATAGAGAGATATCTTGTTCCATTCCGGGCATGGAATCCAACCGTGACGACTTTCTGGCCGTCGGCTTTGTCTTTGCTTGAGAGGTGGGGTGTTGTTCCTCTATACGTACATTAGTATTGGGTCAATGCCTATCGAACATGACATTATGCAATATCATAGTAGCAGGTACATAGATATACTCACTGGATTCTCCCCTCAACGACACGGGGATACTAACAATCCAAACAGTGTTATTGTCTATTTGCCCAAAACCTTGCTTCCAATTGTAATGTGGGATAAACTCACCCTTCTCTTTATAGACGTCCCTGCAAAATCTACTGTATAACTATACGCTACTCCGGCCTTTGCGGACAGCGTCTCCAGAGAGGTTTGTCTGTATGCTATTCCTAGGGCTATCGTAGTTTAGAAGTGCCTGTTTTTACGAGACTTGAACCAAAAGGGTTAATGGGTGATACTAACCCTGCGAGAGCGGATGTATCCAATGAGTAGTTTTGTATATTCCTCTTCGTCGCAGGACGTCAGCCATCGGGTAGTACGTAGGTGGTTGTAGGTGAGTTGCTCATTCGAGGAGAGGAGGTAGGTGGTTCATTTAGATGGTAGGTATTCTGGTTATTGGGGATGTATACGTAGACACAGAGTGTGTGCAATATATACAAGGGATATCAGAGGCATTTCATCTCGATACCAAGATGTCCTTTGATCAACTGAGTGGTACATGGTTGCATGGATAGCCCCTCAACGTCATGCGGAGCAATGTACTGCCTAGCCTGGCTGCTCGTCTGACCGCCAAGAGCGGCAGAACTCCATCGACCTCGCAGAGAAAAGTGCGGATATAAGCGGATATAGACGGATATAGTTTTTAACAGCTCCTAAAAAGTGAGCGGGGATTCTGTATATTTTTTGACCGCCTTCGAGCAGGTGGCAGGATCTGTTGCCATGACGGATGCTCCGCCGAATACTTTAGAGAATGGTAAATTGTTGATTCAATGGTTGGCTTGGTGCGTTTTCGAGTATTATGATTGATATATTAGATTCGGTATGTGAGAGGAAAATAGTAGAAGGTGAAGCGCAAAGAAAAAGAAGAGACACTCCGAGCATCTCAGTGTTTGAAGAAGTCAAAAAGGTCGTGCCCGGGATCGAACCGGGATTGCTGGAATCAGAATCCAGAGTGATAACCATTACACTACACAACCTGTTGTTGTGATAGTTGTTTCTACTATATGATAAATAAAATAATGGTGTACAAACAGCAGTTGAGATCAAGCTGCCTCTCCTCATAGTTTTCATGTCAGGATTGCGACTAATTGTATATACTGTATGTCCTATACCTCTATTCAGATTACACTAAGTCTAGATTCGACTAGTTCCTGTTTGATAATAGTACAATAATACCTGCTGTCTTGCCTGATACTCACTGATGCGGAGCAACGGGCATTGTAGTAGACAAAATAAATCAACACCTTGGATCTTCAATCCGCATGTGAATGGAATTGAAGGGACTTGGTTACGTTCACTTCATTATACCCAATTATATCAGACACAATCAATATATGCAGTAAATAAGTAATTAATCATAATCAGGTACCATCGCTCCGCAATAGAAAAACCTACTACCCGATCAGGAAACACAAGCCCTCATCCCATCCACTATCATGACGACCCCATCATCTCAAAACACCAATAAATGAGAAACATACGATCATACTTATCCCATCTCTCGCCCGAGAAATTCATCTTCAATAGTAATTACTACTACTTACTACCGGCCTACCGGCACTTTCTCCGCTGATCATCCCTCTCATATACCCGACCCTCCATGGTCTAGCCATCCACCAGCCATAGTCTTCCTAATAGTAAAGTAAATCCTAACATCAATACAACTTCCATCCACCAATTAATCAAATCAACTATCTCATCAACAACTACAACAAACACCACTAAGAAGTAATCCAACACTCATCTTAGTATATTCTATTCATTACCAAGATTCCAGCGGAATCAATCACAAGCCTTCCTTTCCCGCGGGCATCACATCACAACAACCACAGCCGAGATTGCGCCATCGGCAAATCAACATTCGTGATCGCCGACCAACACCCGCGGCGCACTCCTCCTATGAGAAGTCGCAGATGGTTTCAACGTATAGTCAGGGCCGGCACGCAATTCCCCTCCACTGATGGTTACATCGCTTATCGTTCCGAATATGCTCGGCGAGTTGGCCAGGGGTTGAAGTGGGATGATGACTAGGATATGAGGGGGGAGGGAAAGGTTTCTGGAATGAGGGGTATATAAATACTACTGGTGTATCCTTTCTCTTGCAGCTACTTTCTTTTGTTAATTACTGCACTACTACTACTGTTGGCGTTGATATCGATCTCTGATTGATAAGATCCTACTATTATTTCATTTATTCTACTCTATTGACTTCGACTCCGACTCCGACTCCATCATGGCCCTAACCCAACAACAACCCGCCACTATCCCCCTAGACGTCTTCCCCGACGGACTAAAAACCACTGGTCAACACCCTCCCCTCTACGAACATATCCATCCTTTCGATAAATTCCCCAAGGAGATTACTGGCCCCACGGTCTGGAAGCCTGAGGATTACAGCAATAACCCAGAGAAATGGACGCATCGGTTCACGGAGGAGGAGATCGAGGAGTTGTCCGCCGCTGCGGATGGGTTTTTGGAGGCGAAGATTCCCATGACTGGTATTAGCAAGGTAAGCCACCTGTTTACTATCTTTGTTGGTTCTTCTGTGGTTTCAAGGTAATGTGTTAACGACGATGGTAGAGCAACTTCCCCCTCCCCAACCTAGCTGCCCGCCTGCACGAACTCCGCGCCGACCTCCTCGACGGCAAGGGATTCATCCTCTTCAAGGGCTTCCCTGTTGAGAAGTGGGGAAACCACAAGTCTGCTGTCGCGTACATGGGTCTCGGCACGTACCTCGGGTACTTTGTTAGCCAGAACAGTCGGGGCCATGTGCTCGGCCATGTGAAGGATCTGGGTGAAGACCCGACGCAGATTGATTCTGTGCGGATTTATCGCACGAATGCTAGGTGCGTATCACGTGCCAGCTCATGCTTCTGTGCCATCTATGGAGAGGGTAGCTAATTGTGTAGACAATTCTTCCACGCAGACGACTCCGATATCGTTGGCTTGCTTTGCATCCACCGCGCCAGGGAGGGAGGTGAATCTGACCTGTGCTCCTCGCACAACGTCTATAACGTCCTGGCGAAGGAGCGCCCGGATGTGCTCAAGACCCTCACGGAGCCGATCTGGTACTTCGACCGGAAGGGCGAGACGAGCACGGGACAGGAGGAGTATATCAAGACGAGTGTTGTTTATCTGGAGCGTGGGGAGAACCCTCGCGTTTATACCAAGTATGTATCCATTGTCTTCGATGGTTCGATGAGTGAAGGACTGTGCTGATACTTTTGCAGGTGGGACCCCTACTATGTGCGCTCTCTCACTCGCTTCTCCGACGCTGGAATCATCCCTCCGCTTTCGGCTGCTCAGGTTGAAGCTCTGGAGGTCCTTGAGGAGACTTGCAACCGCGTCAAACTACACATGATCCTTGAAGTCGGCGATATTCAGTTCCTGGCCAACTCTCATGTGCTGCATGCACGCACGGCCTATGTTGACCACGCTCCGCCTACGCCCAGACGCCATCTCATGCGGTTGTGGTTGGCCACGCCGGAGAGCGAGGGCGGATGGAAGCTGCCGTTCTGGGATAGCAATGAGAAGAAGAGAGGTGGTATCCAGGTCGATGACCAGGCCCCGGTGGCTCCTTTGGATGCTGAGTAAACGAGTCAAGATGACTCGAATGATATTCATGTCTGTAATGTGTACGTTTAGCTT